CCGCCGTGCATGCCAGCATCACGGTAACGCACTCCGGATGGGCACCGACCGCACGCCTGTCTGTTCCACGGTGGTGGTGGCGGGCATCTCCAGCCACAGCGGCGTCTGGTCGGCGTTGATGATCCACGTAGTCTCGATGCCGCGCTCACGCCGCCTATCACGCACGTACTGCCAAAACTTGCGGCACATCTCCGCGATATCTGTAAAAAAACGAGGCACATAAAGAAGATGCGTCAGTATACATGAACTGGAACGACCCACAGGCTTGATACACGGTTAAGACTTACGGGCTGCAGTTTTCTGGGCGACGCGCGTCTTCATGCGGACGCTCAGATTCCACCGCTTCCGAAACCGTTCCGACCACCGCTGGCTGCCCTTCCACTTCACAAGCGGGTAGAGCAGCTTCATGAACTCGTGCGACCACTCCTGCAGACGGCCGACGGAGACTGCTGTTCCCTTGCGGCGCCACTCCAGTAGCTTTTCGTACACCTTCAGCTCCATCGGGCGGTACCATGAAGACCTCCCGCGGCCGTGCATGCGCTTCCGTGCGGCGTGCACCTCCTTGAGGAAATCGGCGGCGCGCTTCCACTCCGTGAGACACTTCCGGTGGATGCCGCTTTCTCGAGACAAGGAGCGCACCGACACCCCCACATCCAGCCGCGCGACCCACTGCAGTTTTTCTTGCGCAGTATAAGCTTGACGCTTATGCTGGTTGACTTTGTTCCTGGGAGAGGGGGGGCGGGCATCACGATTCTCAGCAGAAGGGTGAGGTCGCTTGCGGTTAACAGGAGGGAAAGTCGGAATCGGGAGTTTCTCAGGGAGCCCATCGCGAGACCAGTATTCGACGCCGTCGTCGTCGGCGGCGCCTGGTTCACCCTCGGGAAACACATCGGCCGCGGTGCCAGCCTCGGTTTCGGCCTCCGTGCCATCCTCGGCACCGTTGTCGCCCTCGGCACGACCTTCTTCCGCGGCGTCAGCCACATCGTCGTCGGCGCCGACGGCAGATTCGTCCCACGTGCATTCTTCGGGCGCGCCCCATCTTGGTGCAGGTGCCGGAGCCCGTACATACACGTCTGGACCCTTGTTATTGTCCGGTTCAGACAGGTACTCGTCGAAGGTGGACGGGAGCAAGAGCGTAAGCACGGGATGATTCCCAGGCGGTTGTGGGAACGCCTGATACGGAGGAGCAGGAGGCGCAGGAGGAGCAGGTGGCGCAGGAGGAGCAGGTGGCGCAGGAGGAGCAGGAGGCTGTGGTGGCGATGGTGGTTCTGGTGGGATACGTGTGTACCATCCGTCAGCGTCAACTGTGTAAGCGGGCCTAGGTTTTTTCTTGAAAAGGAAATGAGTGCCTGTGAATTCCGCCATGGCTTCCGCAGCCAGGCGGGCGTGAACAAGAAAGTGAATGGGAAACGCAAAGCATGAATGAAGAAATGAACGATTGAAGAGGACCCCTTCAGGAAAGCGCCTCGGGGTCCTCATCAATGAAAGACGAAAATCACCCTGCCTGAACCCGCAGAGGAGGGTTCATGGCACCAGACGTGCTGTGCTGGCAGGGCATATTCCACACCCTTCGAGAGGGTTCGGATGAGTTGTCCTGCCTGGCCGCGCATGACAACCCGATTGGGCCGCACGACAGCTTTTGTGTCAGCGCTGGCAGGTGCGCTGCACTGGGACGTGAAGTGTGCGGTGGGGAATCGAATCGCGGCGAATAGCGCGAGGATTCCATGCATGACCCCACGTGAACGGCACATCGTTGTGTTCGCCTTATTGCAAGCTTCATTTTGGTACCCTTACAAACAAATTTCATTTTTGCCATTATAAAGGCGCCGGCGCTTATGGCCGTTACTCGATTATAAGCGCACAAAAAAAAATCAAGATTTTATTATAAGCGCATCTGCGCTACTATCCGGGGTATGACGGTACTTGTCATTTCTGCAAAGTGTTCTTACCTGCAGACAGAGGCAACAACAATAGTGCTACAAAACATGTGCGTCCTCTTGGTGCTGTAATGCGTCAGAAGTTGGGTCATTGGACACATCATCCACCTACCTATATTAGATTGAATGACACATGGATTTCCTCATCTAGTCTTGCTTAAGCTCAAAGAAGCAATATTTGTTTTACGCAATAACGAGGTATGACTTTCTCGTGGGCTATTGCTATTCTGCCTCGAGCAGCTCTGCTTCGGGATGGCTGACAAAGCCAAACGACCCCCGCGAAACTCTCCCGCATACGGCCGCTGGCTCCCACGCTCGGTGGAATTCTGGGTTGCATGTGTGGGGCCCGTTTTGTGAATCCCTAAATGCTTGTGACGCCTCGGTATATCCAACTCGTACAATTGCGAGATGTTTCATTCTGGAGACAGCTCACAGTCTACAGTTTAAAACACCACTTCATGGAAAAATGAAGAAAACGAACCGAACTGGTTGATTTTTACTCGAAAGATTACCGCCTTACTAGACTGTTACTGCGCCTTGGAATTGCCATGTGCTTGCGGTGCATCCGCGGCAGCCATGGCGATAGCCAGATGTCAGCAGCATGCACCACCTCCACGTACACGAGGCTCCGAGCCGTCACGCATCAACTCGTTCTCTTCGATGCTGCACCTCTCTTCGACTTGTAGAACCCTCTCTCGCCCGCCCTCGTGATCGGAATCGTGCTACTCGAGTCTCCCTTTAGCCCATTTCGTCACCACCACGTGTGTACTAGCTGCCTGCCATCGTGTCCCGAATTGATTTTCTGCGGAGGTGGTAAAATTGCCAAGGATTGTTACAGCACGAGCGATGCGCGTCTTACGGAAGCTTCTGCGCAAATTACCCAGCCTCTTCCCTTTTTGACGTCGGACGGCCAAGTTTAAATCGCTCATTTCACTCCCTGGGACGGAGTACACACGCGAGCGGCAGTAGCGATGGGCGTATTGGCGAAGCTGCTGTACGTCCTTGTGGAGGACGATGAGGGGGAGGAGGAGCGCGCGGGGAGTAGTAAACTCGCAGCCCAGGCAGGCGAAGCAGGAGGAAAGGCCGCTCGTGCTCCTCCTTCCTCGCCGCGTGCGGCGGTGCGGTACACCAAGTCGGTTCTGTCCAGCACGCTGCAGCTCATGGGGTGCAAGTCGCGCCACGCCGTCAAGGTGAGACCCACGCCGTCAAGGTGAGACCCACGCCGTCAAGGTGAGACCCACGCCGTCAAGGTGAGACCCACGCCGTCAAGGTGAGACCCACGCCGTCAAGGTGAGACCCACGCCGTCAAGGTGAGACCAGCTCGTGTTGCACCGTGAGATCATAACATACGTATCCTCGTCCCACTCCCACGACGTTCCCGGTCCTTTAAATTTCGCCTTCACGTTTGCAGTCCTCTCTTTCTCTCGTACCTGCGCTCATTTGCGCTCTTCTCCCTCACCACACCTCACCTCACCTCACCACGCGCTCCTCTGCCTCACCTCACCACGCACAGATCAGCGAGCGCGTCTTCCAGATTTTGCTGCAGCAAGTCACCAGCCGGCGAGTTTCCGGCCATCGGACAGACGTGGCGCACCGAACACGGATGGCAAACGGATCCGACGGCATCCAGCGATTGGCCAGGCCAAGCCGAGAAGAATCTGGTGCCGTTTTGGCCACCAGCGCCAGTCACAATAATCACAGCTGCCGTGACAATAACGAGCGGGCGGAAAGCAGGGCGGCAGCAGGGGCCGGGTTGAGTGCGGGCGGGGAGGACACGGTGAGGGGCGTGAGCGTGTCTTTGCAGCGCAGCACGTTTCTCGACGTGGTGTGCCGGGCGCTGGCGGAGTACCGCTACCTCAGCGCCGACCAGCGCTCCGACCTCGCGCTTGCCTGCAAGTGAGCCCCTGCATACCGCTCCGCACCGCACTGCACTGCGCTGCTGCACTGCACCACTGCGAAGACTGTACAGACTACTGATTCCTTCTGTCTGGTATGGCCGTTGTTGTGGGATTTGTGCCGCTACTGGTGTGCCGCCATTGGTGTGCGGGAGAGGAAGATGTTGGTGCCGGGGGATTTTTCTTTTATCTGTTTGCTTGCTTGCTGCTGCGTGCTGCCATGCAGGGTGCGCGAGAGGAAGATGTCAGTGACGGTGTTCCTCTGTGGCGCCAGCGGCTGTGGCAAGTCCACTCTCGCCTCTCTCCTGGTACGCTGCACACCTGCCTTCCCTTCCCTGCCTTTCCCTGCCCTGCCTTCTCCTTCCCTCCTTCCCTCCTTCCCTCCTTCCCTCCTTCCTCCTCCCTCTTCTCCCCCCTCTGTCCCTCCCTTCCCTTGTTCTCCCTTGTTCTCCCTTGTTCTCCCTTGTTCTCCCTTGTTCTCCCTTGTTCTCCCTTGTTCTCCCTTGTTCTCCCTTGTTCTCCCTTGTTCTCCCTTGTTCTCCCTTGTTCTCCCTTGTTCTCCCTTGTTCTCCCTTGTTCTCCCTTGTTCTCCCTTGTTCTCCCTTGTTCTCCCTTGTTCTCCCTTGTTCTCCCTTGTTCTCCCTTGTTCTCCCTTGTTCTCCCTTGTTCTCGCCATGCCATCCATCCCTCCTCGCCAATGCCTGCCATGCCATCCATCCCTCCTCGCCAATGCCTGCCATGCCATCCATCCCTCCTCGCCAATGCCTGCCATGCCATCCATCCCTCCTCGCCAATGCCTGCCATGCCATCCATCCCTCCTCGCCAATGCCTGCCATGCCATCCATCCCTCCTCGCCAATGCCTGCCATGCCATCCATCCCTCCTCGCCAATGCCTGCCATGCCATCCATCCCTCCTCGCCAATGCCTGCCATGCCATCCATCCCTCCTCGCCAATGCCTGCCATGCCATCCATCCCTCCTCGCCAATGCCTGCCATGCCATCCATCCCTCCTCGCCAATGCCTGCCATGCCATCCATCCCTCCTCGCCAATGCCTGCCATCCATCCCTCCTCGCCAATGCCTGCCATCCATCCCTCCTCGCCAATGCCTGCCATCCATCCCTCCTCGCCAATGCCTGCCATCCATCCCTCCTCGCCAATGCCTGCCATTCATCCCTCCTCGCCAATGCCTGCCATCCATCCCTCCTCGCCAATGCCTGCCATCCATCCCTCCTCGCCAATGCCTGCCATCCATCCCTCCTCGCCAATGCCTGCCATCCATCCCTCCTCGCCAATGCCTGCCATCCATCCCTCCTCGCCAATGCCTGCCATCCATCCCTCCTCGCCAATGCCTGCCATCCATCCCTCCTCGCCAATGCCTGCCATCCATCCCTCCTCGCCAATGCCTGCCATCCATCCCTCCTCGCCAATGCCTGCCATCCATCCCTCCTCGCCAATGCCTGCCATCCATCCCTCCTCGCCAATGCCTGCCATCCATCCCTCCTCGCCAATGCCTGCCATCCATCCCTCCTCGCCAATGCCTGCCATCCATCCCTCCTCGCCAATGCCTGCCATCCATCCCTCCTCGCCAATGCCTGCCATCCATCCCTCCTCGCCAATGCCTGCCATCCATCCCTCCTCGCCAATGCCTGCCATCCATCCCTCCTCGCCAATGCCTGCCATCCATCCCTCCTCGCCAATGCCTGCCATCCATCCCTCCTCGCCAATGCCTGCCATCCATCCCTCCTCGCCAATGCCTGCCATCCATCCCTCCTCGCCAATGCCTGCCATCCATCCCTCCTCGCCAATGCCTGCCATCCATCCCTCCTCGCCAATGCCTGCCATCCATCCCTCCTCGCCAATGCCTGCCATCCATCCCTCCTCGCCAATGCCTGCCATCCATCCCTCCTCGCCAATGCCTGCCATCCATCCCTCCTCGCCAATGCCTGCCATCCATCCCTCCTCGCCAATGCCTGCCATCCATCCCTCCTCGCCAATGCCTGCCATCCATCCCTCCTCGCCAATGCCTGCCATCCATCCCTCCTCGCCAATGCCTGCCATCCATCCCTCCTCGCCAATGCCTGCCATCCATCCCTCCTCGCCAATGCCTGCCATCCATCCCTCCTCGCCAATGCCTGCCATCCATCCCTCCTCGCCGATGCCTGCCATCCATCCCTCCTCGCCAATGCCTGCCATCCATCCCTCCTCGCCAATGCCTGCCATCCATCCCTCCTCGCCAATGCCTGCCATCCATCCCTCCTCGCCAATGCCTGCCATCCATCCATCCCTCCTCGCCAATGCCTGCCATCCATCCCTCCTCGCCAATGCCTGCCATCCATCCCTCCTCGCCAATGCCTGCCATCCATCCCTCCTCGCCAATGCCTGCCATCCATCCCTCCTCGCCAATGCCTGCCATCCATCCCTCCTCGCCAATGCCTGCCATCCATCCCTCCTCGCCAATGCCTGCCATCCATCCCTCCTCGCCAATGCCTGCCATCCATCCATCCTCGCCAATGCCTGCCATCCATCCCTCCTCGCCAATGCCTGCCATCCATCCCTCCTCGCCAATGCCTGCCATCCATCCCTCCTCGCCAATGCCTGCCATCCATCCCTCCTCGCCAATGCCTGCCATCCATCCATCCTCGCCAATGCCTGCCATCCATCCCTCCTCGCCAATGCCCGCCATCCATCCCTCCTCGCCGATGCCCGCCATCCATCCCTCCTCGCCGATGCCTGCCATCCATCCCTCCTCGCCGATGCCTGCCATCCATCCCTCCTCGCCGATGCCTGCCATCCATCCCTCCTCGCCAATGCCTGCCATCCATCCCTCCTCGCCGATGCCTGCCATCCATCCCTCTCGCCGATGCCTGCCATCCATCCCTCTCGCCGATGCCTGCCATCCATCCCTCCTCGCCGATGCCTGCCATCCATCCCTCCTCGCCGATGCCTGCCATCCATCCCTCCTCGCCGATGCCTGCCATCCATCCCTCCTCGCCGATGCCTGCCATCCATCCCTCCTCGCCGATGCCTGCCATCCATCCCTCCTCGCCGATGCCTGCCATCCATCCCTCCTCGCCGATGCCTGCCATCCATCCCTCCTCGCCGACGCCTGCCATCCATCCCTCCTCGCCAACGCCTGCCATCCATCCCTCCTCGCCAACGCCTGCCATCCATCCCTCCTCGCCAATGCCTGCCATCCATCCCTCCTCGCCAATGCATGCCATCCATCCCTCCTCGCCAATGCCTGCCATCCATCCCTCCTCGCCAATGCCTGCCATCCATCCCTCCTCGCCAATGCCTGCCATCCATCCCTCCTCGCCAATGCCTGCCATCCATCCCTCCTCGCCAATGCCTGCCATCCATCCCTCCTCGCCAATGCCTGCCATCCATCCCTCCTCGCCAATGCCTGCCATCCATCCCTCCTCGCCAATGCCTGCCATCCATCCCTCCTCGCCAATGCCTGCCATTCATCCCTCCTCGCCAATGCCGCTCGGCTCCACCACCTCCCTCATAGCACCATGGGCGGCTGCAGAAGCCACCTCCCTCACATGCTCCTTCCTGTCCCTCCTCCCGCCTCTGGTGCAGGCATCACGGCTGGGCATCACAACAGTGGTCTCCACCGACTCGCTGCGCCACATGATGCGCGGCTTCAGCAGCAAAGAAGCCAACCCGCTGCTCTACGCGTCCACGTACCAGGCTGGTGAACACCTCGACCCCGCCGCTGTTGCTGATGCCAAGGCCAGGAAGAAAGCGGGCAAGCTGGCAGGGAAGCACAGTGGCGCACATGCTGGTGGACAGGCGGACGCGGACACACAGGGTGCAGCAGCTCAGAGTGACTGGCAAGGAAGCCGGCAGATGGGGCAGCTGGCAGGGGAGGTTGGGGGGCGGGTGGGGCGGAGAGAGATGCAGGGCGGTGTGTGTGTGGGCTCTGGTGAGAGCGGAGGAGAGGGAGGATTGGGTTCACAGGAGGGGGTTCGGCGGGGGGAAGGGCGGGTAGGCGGGGAAGAGAACCGCGGGGGAGGAGGTGTGATGACAGGGGGAGGTGTGATGACAGGGGGAGGTGTGATGACAGGGGGAGGTGTGATGACAGGGGGAGGTGTGATGACAGGGGGGGATGGGGGTGGGAGGGAGGAGAGGGAGATGGGAGAGGCGGTTTGGAACGGGCGGACGAGCGTAACAGGGTTGGACAGGGAGAGGAGTGGGGAAGGAGGTGACGAGGGTAGGAGAGATTTGGGGAGTGGGAGGGATGCTGTGAATGGGAAGGAGGCAGTGAGTGAGAGGGAGGGAGTGAGTGAGAGGGAGATGGTGATTCAGGGGTACAAGGCGCAGAGTGAGATGGTGATTGGCAGTGTGGAGCAGCTGCTGTGCAAGTGGGAGCGCTGCCATGAGTCCGCCATCGTGGAGGGCGTTCACCTCAGCCTCAACTTCGTGGTACGATTCACGCCTCTGCTCACTCACGGCCTGCATGCCTGCAATCACTGCCTGCACTGCAATCACTGCCTGCAATGCAATCACTGCCTGCACTTCTGCGCTCACTCACAGCTCGTTTTAGTCACTCAGAAATGGCCATCGTGGAGGGCGTGCACCTCAGCCTCTTTTTGTGGTACGCCTTAGGGTTGCCTGCGCCCTCCTCACAGCTGCACACTCTTGCCACCACTCCCTCCCCCACCTCACACATGCACTCCCTCCCCCACCTCACACATGCACTCCCTCCCCCACCTCACACATGCACTCCCTCCCCCACCTCACACATGCACTCCCTCCCCCACCTCACACATGCACTCCCTCCCCCACCTCACACATGCACTCCCTCCCCCACCTCACACATGCACTCCCTCCCCCACCTCACACATGCACTCCCTCCCCCACCTCACACATGCACTCCCTCCCCCACCTCACACATGCACTCCCTCCCCCACCTCACACATGCACTCCCTCCCCCACCTCACACATGCACTCCCTCCCCCACCTCACACATGCACTCCCTCCCCCACCTCACACATGCACTCCCTCCCCCACCTCACACATGCACTCCCTCCCCCACCTCACACATGCACTCCCTCCCCCACCTCACACATGCACTCCCTCACCGTTCCTTTGCGCTGGCTGGCATGCCATTTTTGGAATATCCTGTGATGTTCCATCCTGTGATGTTCCATCGCACCGTGCCGCCATGTGGCAGGCGTGTATGCACATGGCATTTGTGTTCTGTGTTGCACCTGCATCCCACGTGGCACGTGTACTGCACGTGCATTACATCCCACGTGTCTTCCGTATCCTCCACGTCATGGCAGATGGAGCTGCTGAAGCAGCACCCCACCATCATCCCGTTTGTGATCTGCATCGGCAGCGAGGCGAAGCACATGGAGCAGTTCGCCGTGCGCGCCGCTAAGCCCCCCTGTGGCTCACCCCTGTATTCCCCATGCTACCTCCATCCCCCATGCCATACCATGGCAGATGGAGCTGTTGAAACGGCACCCCACCATCATTCCCTTCGTCATCTACATCGGCAACGAGGCGAAGCACATGGAGCGGTTTGCAGTGCGCGCCAAGTACATGACGCTAGACCCGCGGCGCAACAAGTACGTGCGCTACATTCGCAACATCCGTGCCATCCAGGACTACCTCGTGCGCCGCGCCGACAAACACCTCATTCCCAAGGTGGGGTGCGATGGGATAGAGAAGTACGTGATGCTGAAGGGCCAACCCAGGGTGCGCTGGCAGGCAAACGCACTGCACCCAAGATAACCGAGCTCATGATGCCCAAAATAACTGAGCTCATGATGCCTAAGATAACTGAGCTCATGATGCCCAAAATAACTGAGCTCATGATGCCCAAGATAACTGAGCTCATGATTGCCCAAGATAACTGAGCTCATGATGCCCAAGATAACTGAGCTCATGATGCCCAAGATAACTGAGCTCATGATGCCAAAGATAACTGAGCTCATGATGCCTAATCTTTGCATGAATCACCTCGTGCCGCTGTGTGCCTGCCTGGCGACAACAGCACCGAGAGCCTCAAGGCTTGCTGCTCTCCCACTCTCACCCCTCCCCCTTCCCGACCCTTGGATTGTCACACAGGTCAACAACACGAACATGGACAAGAGCGTGGCGGCCATCCACGCCACGGTGTTTGCCTGCCTGCGGCACCGCGCAGCGGGGGAGAGCATGTACAGCCGCGCCTCCAACACGCTGCCGCTGCTGCGCCACGAGTACGACACGCAGTACACCGCCTCGGGACTCGGCTCCAAAGGCATGCTTTACGTCATACAGCGGGAGGGCAGCCTCAGGGAGGGCAGCCTCAGGGAGGGCAGCCTCAGGGAGGGCGGCAGTGTGCGCTCCTCTGCCTCTGACCCCTCGGACCCCCTCTCTGGTCTGCCCACGCGGGCCGTCAGCCTCCCAACGTACGCCTTTGGTGCTGATAGCAGCGGGTCGGGTGCTGCAGGGGAGCCCTACCCGCCTGCTGCTGCCCACACTCGCCTCTCACCCGTCCCACCTGACTTCCCACCTGATGATTCTTCACATGGTTTTCCACCTGGAGCAGAGGCATCTCAAAGCCACGGCCCGCCCTCCCTGTCAACACTGCCTTCCCTGCCGCCACGCTCCTTGCGAGTGTCAGAGGGCAGCGCAGGCACCACCTCATGGGGGCGCTGTCTACAAGCAGGCCAAGCTCAGGCGAGCGTGTGTCCAGAGGAGCTGTCAGACGGGTATGCCTCGGGCTACAGCTCAGGGGTGCCACCCAGGGGGCCCAGAAGGGAGGCCTTTCCTTCCGCAGCAGAAGCGTCGTTCCCAGCAGGGGCGCAGGGGCTTCCCTGGCAGGCAGGGCACGGGCATGTGCCACCTCCCCCAGTTGTAGCCATCCCGCTGCTGAACCTCTCGGAAACCCCATCAGCTACAGAAGGCTCGCTGGAGTCCCCCAGTGCGCTGCTGAGCTCCGGGGTGAGCACGTGCTCCACGCCCAGAGTAGGCGCACCTGGTGCAGGTGCATCTGTAGGGGCATCTGGAGGTGGTGGTGGCACTGTGGGTGCCTCTGGTGGGGGCGGTGGCAGCCTGCTGGCGCCCATCCACGTGCGCTTCAGTGGGCGCACGGCCTTCCCCCGCAGCGCTGACGTGGGCAGCAGCAGCGGGGGGGAGGGTCTGGCAGAGCGCGAGAGGGAGAGGAGGGCGAGAGGAGTAGGTGCAGCAGCAGCAGCGGAAGGAGTGGTGGGAGATGTGGGGGCGATGGGAGGGATGGGGATGGGCATGGGGCGGCTGGCGAAGGCGATGGACGGGGTGAGGATGAGCGGGGGAGGGCAGTTTGCAGCGCACATGCCCAGCTTCTATGGCTCGCCTGCCAGTCGCACACACGCTCTGCAGAAGAAGGAAGAGGTGCGCCCACTGTGCCTTTTTGTGCGCCTACTATGCCTTGTTGTGTGTCCACTGTGCCTTGTGTGGCTGCTCCTGTAGCCTCTTCACTCGCTGCTCTCGTCTCTCTGGTCTCTGGATTCTCCTCTTCCCTATCTCTTGTCTCGTCCCTCCTCCCTCCTCTCTTTCTCTCCTACCTTCTCCGTCATCTGTCCACGCTGTTGGGTGTCTGCTGCACATAGGGGGTGTTCAGGTGCGTGTCATGATAGTTGAGCGCATCTCTCGAATCTCTGGCTCGCTGCATCTCGTGGAACTGTTGCCAGGGCATGTTCAGTGCTTATTTCTCTGGTTGGGCAGTGTTAATAAGCATTTGCCGCCTCACACACATTGGCAAGGGAAGAGCAGCATGCCAATGGACGACCATGCCCCTGGGGCGAGTGCATGTGTGCAGGCATGCGATTTGTGTGCGCTGCCACGCCCGCTGAAGCCACAGGCATTGGAGCACGTGGCGACAGTAGATAGTGTTGGCATAGCGTGTTTTTCTAGTGTGCCCCACCCCTCGTGTGACAAGCCACGGGTATCAGAGAATGTGACGGCATGGAGCAGTGTTGGCGATGATGGGACAGATGAGGAGCGCGTGAGAAGACAAGCAGGCAACGTTCATCCGAGGCTGAGTGGGTTTTACATATGTGCCCCTTCCCCCCCTCTCTTCCCGTCAAGCCACAGGTATCAGAGCACGTGGCGGCATCAGATAGCGACGACGATGAGGAGCACATGCGGGATGCTGCTGACGTCAGCTCCAACGCCGCCTTCTCCTCCGAAGGCTCTGAGCATGATGAGGAGGTGAGCGTTGGTCCACTGGAGAGGCCGTTGGGTTTGGTTGCTAAACATGCCGCTATGAGTGCCATATGGCCGTGCCTGTTGCTTTGGAAGCATATATCTGTTCCATGCAAGAGAATATGGAATGTGACGTAAGCGATGAGGCTGTTAGCATTTTGGTGCAAACGTTGAGGATGCGGAGGCGGATGTGCGCAGGGAGGGAACTAAAGGGCAAGGTGTAGTTCCATACGATGGTCATGAAATCTGTCAGGAAGGTAACCTGTAACGCAGCACGGCACTCTTGATATGATGGCCATGAACTTGAGACTGGATCATTCCCCTTGATTGCCCGTGCCGCGTGTCCCCCCTTGCCAACTCATGGGCCACCAGGAGGGCTCAGTGGCGAGTGACGAGTCGTTTAGCCTGTCGGAGGGCGGCACGGACGACGACATGGGTGAGGGCGACAGCGCACAGCCCCTCCCCCACCACCTCTCGCTCTCCGCTGCTGCTGTGCCTCTGGGCAGCGAGCTCAACGTCTTCCTTGATGCCGCCAGCCTGCCCCACGTGCTGCCCCACGTGCTGCCCTCTGCCTCCTACTATGGTGATCGTGGCAACGAGGGGAATTACAGCGCTCACAGCAATCATAGCGCTGTACCCCGTCACCACTTCGATGCTCCTGCGGGCAATGCGCCCATGGGGCACCGTGCTCCTGGGGCTTTGGGGCAGCACTACACCGCCCTGCAAGAGGGGGCTGCTGGATCTGCAGGCAGGGCAGCACCACTGGCAGCAGCAGCTGCTGCTCTGGCAGGCCGATCGCATACTTTGCAGCACACAACCGGCCGTCCTCATCCCCCACTCCATCTGCACCGCGTGCCCTCGGCACCTGGTGCTGCAGGTGCTGCTTCCCGTGCCGGCCTGCCTCCCTGGCCCACAGGCCACTCCACGTCGTCTGCCAACTTCCTGCGCCATGGGGCGGATCCCCTGCCACCTGCTCCGCATGCCTTTCCTCCCCTGCCACGTGCTGACTCCGCTGCCGGGATCGCTGCCACTGCTGCGTCAGCTGCGGCCACGGCCGCAGCAGGGGCCTCCAGGGCCCAAGGGGGCCGTGAGTGGGGCGCAGGCAGGCGAGCAGGCACAGGCGCGGGCGTGCTGCTGGGGAGGTCGAAGTCCATGGGGGGATGCGGGAGAGGGATGGCGGGGTGAGGGAGGTGGGCGAGAGGGAGGCAGGGCGCATGCGTGTGAGGCCGTCGCGGCCGGGGGCTGCAAGGCGGTTCTCAGACACGGGTGCCGCTAGCAGAAGGGGATGGGCCGTGCTGGAGACAACTCTGCAGGGTAGTGGGGGTGTGCAGGGCGGGGCGCTAGTGCTGCAAGAGAGGGAGAGCATGCAGCCAGGTGAGATTGCAGTGCAGCAAGACAAACAAATGGCACAGCAGCAGCAGCAGCAGCAGCAGCAGCAGCAGCAGCAGCAGCAGCAGCAGCCGCCGCAAACTGGCGGGGAATAGGTGTACGGTAATAGAATACCGCTCTGGTGCTTAGGGCAGGACAGTGAGGGGCGGTACCCCGTAGTTGCGTCGGAGGAAGGTACGGTAGTTAACAATTACAAGTGTCTGCATGCTGTGCATTGGCAGCCATTGAGACTTGCCACAAGGTGTATAGCGTACATAATTGTGGTTTGCATGATTCTGGTGAGTCCATGGTATTGAGGTATTGCCCATGTGCTAGATAGATTGGTGATGCTGGTTGGGAGGGGAGCATAATCGCCTTGTATAAAGTGCGCGAAATGTTGCCTTCCGTTACGTAGGATGGTGGTTCATCTGTACATTTTTCGCCCAACTGTTGACTCACTATAGCACCAAAATAATGAAGTGCATGCCTTTCTGGCGCCAGCCAGTGCTAGCGCTGTTGATGCTGCAGGTGGCTTCCCATACAGTATTTCTGGAGGACCCACCTACCAGGGCTGACGTTTCAGATTAGGCCTCCCTGATTCCGGGGAAAATTTTCCCCCTCTATTATGAGTGCACATTTTTCAGAATGATGCTACCCTGATTGCTCAGGGTTGAAAAGTATGTAACTCTGATTGTTCAGGGTCGAAAATCGAAGATCAGAGTAGTAACGCACCCTTTTTTACCGAGGGAAAAAGTCTCGCTTTGTGTTAAGGACGCGTCACCTCTAGCACCGATCGTGCGATTTTTGGCTCGCAGGATCGATTTTTGGCGGGGTTAGAAAAGTTTCGGAAAGTTTTAGAAGCACTAATCAAGGTTTCAGTACGGGGAAGATCGATTTTTGCAGGATCGAGCCAGAGGGGACGCGTCCTAAGTCTGCGCTCTATGTTTCGCGCACACCTTGTGCGCGATAATTTTCAACCTTTTTGTTTTTTGAAACAGTATTTATCTACACGTTTTAGCGCGGGGAAGAGACGAGCGATTTCGGTCAACCAAACATTTCGATTCGACACCACAGATGTGCCAAATTTTTAATTCGCCGAGTACCAACGCAGTGTGTCAACGCAAAAAATGTCTGGTAACTTCACACATACGCAATTACGACAGTAGAACGACATATTCAGAATGCGTGAACGTATCAAATATTGAGTGTACTCAACCGTCAGACATGCTACTGTCCGTTGCTCACGCGCTGGCTGTCCCGCGATCTATCCGAAGGGGGATATCGGAAGGAAATTTCCAGGAACCTTCGTCCCGATACCCTCGCATTCAGGGTACACAGGACGCGTACTCTACATTGACAGAGTCAGTAAGAACACTACTCTGAGCCTGGATACAAGATTTCAGGGTTCGCTAAAGTCCTTATCTGAATGGATCAGAGTTCACAAGTCACAAATTCTGAAATGGCAGTCACAAGCCTGTAATCACCCTGAAATCAGGGTAATTACCCTGATAAAATCAGCCCTGCCACATACCCCATACGCGCTATGCTTTCAGCCGTGCCGTGCTGTTACGCGCCACAGTGATGCAGTCAAGGTTGGGTGGTCGTGATTGAAGTAGTTAGTACATCTTAAGCAATTTAGCAGTTCGATCGGATAGAATATTATTGTGATATTAACTTAGGTGAATGTTATTGTAGTATAAGTACGGTACCATTTCATAGTAGATTAGAGTAAAAGCCTGGTAAGTGATACCTCATATTGAGCACTCAAGCTAACATTTCATAAAAATGGCTAACGGAGCATTCAAAACTGCTGCTGATTGGCTCGCGGCGCCTGTCGTCAGTGGATTTTATCGAGCAACCTGTCACTCCCATCACAAGCAACGCAAAATCTGGCTTTGGTTTTGTGCTCTGATCCGCTGTGCCCCTTTTTGCTTCATCTCCTTTCTACTCTGGTGACAGACGAACTTCCGCACATAGAGCTCAAAGAAACCACTCATCACATCACGCGCTGAATGATATCAAGAGTAGCTAAGAGACTCGCTGACGGCCTCGTACTGTACTTTGCGAAATAACTCATAGGTCGACGAGCCCTGTCGTCTTGGAGCATACTCCTCATTGGACCCGTTGTTATTCTCTCAAGAGTCACATTCCAGAATGAAGCAGGAGGAGCACCAGGTAGCGAGCACGGACCACGTGCGTCTGTGCGTCAAGACATGGCCGGCGCGGCCGAGCTTCGACGGCGGGGAGTACGAGCAGCAGAAGAAGCAGGCGCTGCTGGCGGTGATCGTGCATCCCTACTCGCGTATGGGCGGCTCGCAGGCCGTTACGCAGGGGCTGGCGGAATGCCTGTGCCTGCGCGGGTTCAAGTGAGTTTCCAGTGGACTGAGGCTGCCGTCGAGCCGCCTGATGATGCTGGCGGGATGTTTGTGTCTGAGCTGGTTCAAAGCGAGTCTTCGAGCATTTGCCTTCGAGCCCCCTGAGGCTGAATCGGTAGCAGGCGTTGCTGCTGGCGGCGTCACGATGCAGGAGGAGGTTGCGGTATGCCTTTGGCTGCGCGCGGGTTTTAGTAAGTACCAAGGGTTTACGAAACGCGTTCTTGAATAAGCTACATATTACGCACATTTCTGGAGGTGCGCTGAATCGTTAGGCATACTCATTACAGCCGTTGACACTGCTGACGTGCTCAGACGGCATTCGCGCTCAGACTGCATTCGCGCTCGACTAGGCAGACGCTAGCCAAGCGTTTTTGTTTTAGGGAGGCGAGTTGGGCGCGGGATGAACGGAGAGGAGAATTGATTATTCGCTCGGATCACCACGCGAAATCTTCATGCAAGCTCGGTACTGCACGCGGTGTTACAATGTAGGTCCGCCTCATCTCCGCTCCTCCGTCTCTGTCTCCTCTCGTCTGCTCCTTCCCTCGCGCGCTACAAACCGCTCGCTCCCTGAACCCGTCACCATCCGAAACGCCTCAGAAGCCTCCGCCACAGTTGATACTAGTGGCGGCGTCTGATTGGACGGGCGCAGGCAAGCCATCCAGCGAACGCACCAGCTGATTTCCTTCCTCACTACCTTCTTCCCCACACCCCGCATTCCCCACACCCCGCATTCCCCACACCCCGCATTCCACACACCCCGCATTCCCCACACCCCGCATTCCCCACACCCCGCATTCCCCACACCCCGCATTCCCCACACCCCGCATTCCCCCACACCCCGCATTCCCACACCCCGCATTCCCCACACCCCGCATTCCCCACACCCCGCATTCCACACACCCCGCATTCCACACACCCGTCAGTGTCGTAACGTTCGACCTGGGGGGCGCGGGCAAGTCAACCAATCGACCCGTCAGCTGGTTAACCTCCCTCATCGCCATCTCTCTCCCCCTCTCCCCTTCCCCACACCCCGCATTCCCCACACCCGCATTCCCCACACCCCGCATTCCCCACACCCCGCATTCCCCACACCCCGCATTCCCACACACCCCGCATTCCCCACACCCCGCATTCCCCACACCCGCCAGCGTGCCCGCCAGCGTGGTTGACGTTCGACCTGCGGGGTGCGGCCAGCTGGTTACCTCTTTCATCGCCATTCTCCCCCCACCCCCCCTGTCGCACACCCCGCATTCCACACTCCACTTAGCGTCGTGACGTTCGACCTGCGGGGCGCAGGCAAGTCGACGGGGCACGCATCGTTCACGGGCGAGCCCGAGGTGGCGGACGTCATGGCCGTGTGCCGCTGGGCAAGCGACAAGTACGGCCAGCGCATTCTGCTGCTGGGGTCGTCCGCAGGTGAGAGCGTGCTGTTGCTCTCGCCGCCCGCAGGTGAGGGTGTGGTGCTGCTCTTGTCGTCCCGCAGGTGAACGCGTGGTGCTGCTGCTCAAAAACTTCTTGGATTGATGAGATAAGCTAACATGTAAAGTGATACAGTAGCGCACCTCATCTCCTTCCCCCCGTTCTCCCTACATGCAGGAGCACTCACTGCAGGCTCAGCTGTGCCGCACTGCCCGCAGGTCGACCTACGTGGGCATCACCTTCCCCTGGCCCCCACACCCGCCCTCATATTTTCCCCATCTTCTCCCCTTCCTCCCCTCTCCCCCATCCCCCCTTCTTATCCCCCCTCTTCCCACGTGCAGGAGTGCCCATTGTGGGTTAGGCCCTGCCGCACTGCCCCCAAGTCGACCTGTAAGTGGGCGTCGGTTCCCCCTGACCCCTCACGCCCACCCTCTCTCCCATCCTCTCCCCCCTCCTCATCCCCCTCTCCCCCCTCCTCATCCCCCTCTCCCCACATGCAGGAGCACCCATTGCGGGCTCAGCCCTGCCGCACTGCCCACAGGTGGACCTGTACGTGGGCGTGGGGTACACCTTTGGCCTCCTCTCCTCGCTGTTCTTCGGCTCGCACTACTCCACCGTGCTCGCCTGGCCCGGCCCCAAGCTCTTCATCATGGGTGCTAAAGACGAGTTCACGAGCATCAAGCAGCTGGAGGCGCGCGCAGGCAAGGCGCAGGGCGTGGCGAAGGTGAGCATTGTGGAGGGCGTGGGGCACTTTGGGCTGGAGGGGCCTGCGTACGACGAGGAGGTGGCCAAGCGCGTGGGGGAGTTTGTCGCTGAGCAGGCCAGTGGTGGAGGGGACGGGGGTGCTGGTGGGGAGGAGGGGATCAAGGAGAGTGTTAGCTAGGTGTTGGGGTTCAGGAGCTCACGTACCATGAGGTGGGGGATTTTGTCGGGGTCGGGGAGTTGCATTGCTCAGCTGCTGTTTTGGGAAGGTGGGGAGGGGACAGTCGCCAGGAGGGAGATGAGTTAAAGAGAGAAGTCGCATGGTAATGATATATATGTTGCCAGAGAGTGCTCTCTGGCATCTGATTTGGTCATATACCGTACTAGGTAGTTTCTCTTCAAGTTTGGGTAAGTTATTAGTATCCCCCACTTTGCAAAAGCTAGTAGAGTAGGCGCTTCAAATAGTCTATAATACGGCACCCTTCGCTTTTTATGGGTGACTTGGAGCCATGTAATAATTAGACCAATTCTTGTGAAAAGTGTTGAATAGTTCATTGTAATTCATTTTTAATTGCATGTGACAAATGTTGTAGCCTGTAGTGAGGCTTGTCTTAGGGGGTACAAATATTAGGGTTTGCTATATGTACCCCAACCCACATCAATGAACACACAATTCAGTTTCTAACATGGTATCACCTAGGTTAGGATCCTGTAGGATCCCGTTTCTCTTGCCCGAGCCTTACGTGCCTCACCCGTCCCGTCTTGTCTCGTAGCGCTGCAGTAGCGCCCCCTTTCGTACGCGCGTCCGCCGCGCGCCTGCAATAGCGCTTGCAGTAGCGCGTTCCGCCCGTTCTCGCGCCCGTCCCGTCCCGTACCCCGTCCCGTCGCGCGCCTGCCCTAAGCGCCCGCCGCGTCTGCCCTTAGCGCCCGCCGCGCGCTTGCCCTTCGCGCCCGCCGCATCTGCCCTTAGCGCTCGTCACGCGCCTGCCCTTAGCGCAGCCACATCTGCCCTTAGCGACCGCCGCGCCTGCCCGTTAGGCCCACCGCGGGCCCTCTCTTCACGCCGCCGTGCCTGCCCGTTAAACCCGCCGCTGCGCGTGCTCATTAGGCCCGCCGCGGGCCCTGCCTTCGCGCCGCCGCGCCTGCCTGATACGCCCGCTGCCCGCTGCGCGCCCGCCCGTTACGCCTGCCGCGGGCCCTGCCTTCGCGCCGCCGCGCCTGCCCGTTACGCCCGCTGTCGCGCCCGCCCGTTACGCCCGCCACGGGCCCTGCCTTCGCGCCGCCGCGCCTACCTGTTCGACCCGTCATGGGCCTGCTCGTTCGCCCCTGCCGCACCTGTCAGCTACGCGCGCCGCGGGCCCGCCCCATGTGCCCGCTGTGCCTGCGTTTTGCGCCCCCCGCGGGCCTGCACTCGCTGCCTGCCGCGCCTGCCCTTAGAGCCTGCCGCGGCCCTGCCTTACCTGCCCGCCGTGTCTGCCCGTGCTGCCCACAGAGCCTGTGCTTAGAGCTTGCCGCGCCGGCCCTTCGTCCCTCTAGCGTTCGCCACGTGCCTACTTTTGCTCGCGCGCCTGCCCTTCGCACGCCCGTGCGCCTCTCGCCCAACCGCTTGTCTCCTTGTCGTGCTTGTCGCCCTGCCCTCGCCTGCCACTGCGCCCCGCCGGCCTGTAGTTTCTGCTTTCGCTATGGTGACTCCTAGAGTCCTTCGCTTTGACGCCGAGGGTAGGCCCCTCGAGTTCAATGTCTGGCTCTAGCGTGCGCAGCGTCTCCTAGAGAGTCAGGTGCAGGCAAATGAGTCTCTGTGGGCGCACGCATCCAGTGACCTCCCTGGCCCCCCTGCTCCTGCTACCCTAGGACTTGACGCTACCCCTGAGGACCGAGAACGTGTTGCACGTCAGCGTGCTGACCTGACTGCCTGGCGATCGTTCGATGCTGCGGCCTGCATCGCCCTCAGCAGCCTCCTCCCTGAGTAAGAGAGACCCATTTCGCACAGGTTCGCACGACTCGTGAGTTCCTGACTGCGATTAAGGCCCGCTATGCTACTCCTTCCACCGTCTCTCTTGGCCGCCTGTTCCTCCCCTTCCTGTTCCCTGACGTCGCCCTCGTTTGAGCGTTCTGCTGACCTGATTGCTCACTTGCGTTCACTTGACGCTAGCTTTCGCGCTGCTTGCACTGACGACCAGCTTGCACTGCTGCCTCCCCCCATGGCGATCACTATCTATTTCATCGCCACTAGCCTCCCTGACCGCCTTGCTTCGGTTCGTGACGCGCTTCTTCTGAAGCACCCTAACGAGCTCACTATCGGCGTCCTTCAGTCTGCTCTGAAGGACGTCGAGAGCAACCTCCACTTCGAAGCCTCCGCCTCTGGTGCTGTGCCCCCTCCACTGTTTTCACGAGTGTACTGTCCCTCAGCTGCCCACCTTTACTGCCTCCCTCGCCACTGCCGCTACTGACGTGACCGCAACTGCTTTTACGACTTCTTCGCGGCCCCAGGGTAGGGGTGGCAAGAAGAGCGGTCAGGGTGCGGGCGGGGGTGGCGGAGGCGCGGGGGTGTCGTGGCGAGCGGTGACGGCGGGAGTGCAGCAGCTGGAGGAGCGTCTCGTGCAGCGGCCAGTGACTCCCCTGCTGCAGCTGGTGGAGGTGACGCCCGGGTTCGTCAGCCACCTAGTGGTCCGCCAGTCGCCGAGGGTGGAGCAGCGACGTGGTATCTGACTCAGCGGCAGCAGCAGCAGCAGCAGCAGCCCCTCCCCTCGCAGCAGCCCCCACACCAGCAGCGGCAGCAGCAGGTTTTGGGGCAGGGGTCAGGACAGCGTCAGCTCCAGCGCAGTGTCGTTCACCCTCCGTGCACCTACCACGTTCTGACAGGTGCTCGCCGGGGCCAGCCCTGTGGCCGCACCCACCCACCGGGTCAGTGCTTTGCTCAGCTTACTGACACCGTTCGCTTGGCCTACGGCGTTGACGGCCCTGCCCCTGACTGGCTTCCTCTTGTTCAGTCGTACGACCCTGCTCTGTGGGGCATGTCTGCTTCTCAGTTGATTGATCTGTTAGGAACTCCTCATGCTATGTATGACGTTGTTGACTCTAGTGCTTCTGAATCTGTTTACTCGAGTTCTGTTAGCTTAGGTGCTAGTCTTGCTGAGTTGCCTGTTGCTAGTGTAGGTTCTTGTGTAGACACTAGTCCAGGAGCTGCTTCGGAGGACGCTTCGCTGTCTTTCACTCTGGACTCTAGAGCTTCGCACTGTTTCTTTCCGCGACCACACGACGCTCACACCGCTTCCTGCGCCGGTCTCTGTAGCACTGGCTGATCCCACTTCGCGACCAGTCACTGCTCGCTTCACTACTACACTTCCGTGCCCAACTGTTCCCTCCGGGTCTCTGACCGGCTTCCACGTCCCCTCGTTCTCGAGGAACTTGGTGGGCGTGAGGCCTCTCGTGAGTCAGCACGTGGGTGTGTGGATTGAGCCCTCTGGTGAGACGGCGGTTTGTGTTGACGGGGACTCGTACGCGCCTCTTGCCACCTTTACTGCTGAGCCGGGCTCCGGTCTCTACACACTTCACACTGGCCCTGGTGGGCAGCAGCAGCAACAGCACCCACGGCAGCAGTAGCAGCAGCCGCAGCAGCAGCAGCAGCAACAGCAGCAGCAGCAACAGCCGCAGCAGCAGCAGCTCTTGCCCCCGGCCCTTCTCCCTACCCCCCGTCAGGTACCCGAGTCTCACCAAATTGCCGTGTCTCCCAAGGTAGCTGTGCCTAGTCAGGTTCTCGTGTCTAGTCTTGTTGCTGCGTCTTGCTCCTGCCGGTCGCTTGCCCACCCCACCGTTTTGTGGCACCACTGGATGGGGCACCCGTCCATTCTTCGTCTGCGCGCTATGTCCCGTCAGCCCCTTGTCTTACGCCTCCCGCGTGTCTTGCCATCGCTGCCACCTTCACTTGCACCACCGTGCGGTCCCTGCGTCGAGGGTCGGCTGCGCGCCACCCCTCACTCCTCCTCCCTTCGTCCGGCCACCGAGCCTTTTGAGACTCTCCACTTGGACGTCTGGGGCCCCGCCTCTCGCCTTGGCCCTGAGCGTGAGCGTTTCTTTCTGGTGGTTGTTGACGACTACTCCCGCTACACCACAGTGTTCCCCCTGGCGAAGAAGTCTGAGGTGACTTCTACGCTGATCACGTGGTTGCTTACCACTGCGGAAACTCGCGGTCGTCGTGTCAGCTGTCTTCACTCCGACCGCGGGGGTGAGTTTCGCTCCGGCATTCTCGCTGGATTCTATCGCGAGCAAGGCATTCATCATTGCTGGACGCTTCCAGAGTCCCCACAACAGAATGGGGTTGCTGAGCGCCGCATAGGCTTGGTCATGGAGATCGCCCGCACCTCCATGACTCACGCCCGTGCCCCCCATTTTCTGTGGCCCTACGCGGTTCGGTACGCCGCTCACCAGCTGAACCTCTGGCCACGTGTCTCTCGGCCAGAGGTTTCACCGACTAGTCTTTGGACCGTGAGACGACCGCTGAGTGGCCTGGTCGTCCGCCCAAGAAGCGTCTGAGTGTCCAGTGAGAACAACTCGGTCTCGCCCTCCAAGCACTAGCCCCATGCCCGACGTATTGCACAAGTAGCGCAACACCCTCTTAGCGGCATCCATGTGCTCCTTCCGGTGACGGCCAGGAGCGACATAGCGTGCAAGGATGCTAAGAGGGTATGCAAGGTCAGGACGAGTGCAGGTCATCAGGTACATGAGGCAGCCCACAAGCTCTGGATACGGGCCACTCGGCTCTACGGACTCATCCGAAGGCAGAGCTGAGAGCGAGTGACCGGTAGGCAGAGGAGTGGACTGAGGCGAGGAGTACGTGAAGCCGAAGCGCTGAAGGACCTGCTGCACCATGTGTGACTGAGTCAAGGTAATGGTGCGCCGTGCTCTGTCCCGGGTGATCCGCAAGCCAAGGTAGCTTGTCAGTTCACCCACGTCTGTGCACGTGTGTCTCTTCTGCAGCTCCGACTTCACGTGGGCGAGAGCCTGAGTGTCAGCAGTGGCAAAGACCAAGTCGTCGACGTACACGAGGATGTAGAACGGCGGCAACGAAGTGTCGGTGCACAGAAACAGCGACGGGTCAGCAGTAGAAGGCGCGAACCCAAGTGCCGCAAGTGTCGTCCTCAGTGTGTCGTGCCACTCACGTGGTGCCTGGCGGAGACCGTA